CGAACGAGCCCTCGCGAGTCTCGGTGTCGTTGGATGTATCTCCCTCAGTGGAGAATGATTCGACGGACGTCTCCGTCGGATGAATCTCTTGCACGAGAGAAGGATCCGACTTGGTGGGCGACTGCTTACCGGGACGACTTAAACGCGTCGCGTGGAAGTCGGATCGTTTTAACTTCGATTCGCATAACGCGCGCGCGTGTAATGATTGGCTCCGTCGGATGTATCTCCAATTCACCGGAGAAGGATCCGACGAAAACGCGCGATCTATGTAGCGCGGGGTGCGAGCATCGTCGGGACAACTCCGCCGTCGGTAAACGCGGAAGGATGTTGTGTAGATTACGATGTAAAGAGCGCCCCGCGCGAATGGATTGCTGTGGCGGAGTAACCTAAGCTCGTCGCGTAGATTGATTCGATATCGATTCTCATAACGCGCGTGCGACAGGACAAGAATTGAGCAACAAGCGTCACGTTACACAGTGTCGTGATTGAATTGCGGAGTAGGCCAGGAGGATCCGAAAGGACGGCAGACGGGCCGTAGAGTCGCTTTTTAGTGAGCGGGCGAACGCCCGCCNCGCTTGCCCTCCGATCCTCTCCCGATGATGTATATATTATAAGCGGATGGTATATGTTCCGCGATTCAATGAGGTGTATTCCGCGATTCAATGAGGCGCTTGTGTACGCGATGTGTACGCTCAAGTGTCCGAAGGTTTTTGAATGAACTTTTCGCTCCGGACTGTGTGGCCGATCAAAAAAATACTGGGCCGAAATATAGTGTACTCGATAAGAGAGCGGTAAACCACCCTGCGATCTTTCGAGACACAGAATCTCGGTCTGGGGGGCTTGTCTTGGTGGTTAGGCNAGAACCCGTAAGCGAGAAAAAGCAACACGCCGCGAGNACTTNGACGCGGTGACAAAATTTGTATCGCTTGGCGCAAAGCAACACGCCGCGAAAACTTAGACGCGGTGACAAAATTTGTATCGCTTGGCGCAAAGCAACACGCCGCGAAGAACTTAAGCGAAATGTATGTGCTTCAGAGGTGTTGTTGAGCCTACCGTGGCTGTTTTGCAGCTTTAATCCTAATTAATAACGCTAGTAACGGTTAAGATATGTGTAATATAGGTAGGCAGGTAGGAGTATATATAACTATTTATATTATATTATATATAATATTGTATTATATTGTATGTGTTTTATGTAATAAATGTGTAATAGAGTTGTATATTCTATTGTAATGTATAAAACAATTGTAAAATAAAACTTGGAAATAGAAAACACACACTGATAAAGAGTTTTAAATAAAAAAGCAAAAGCTATGTATATTTCTTGGAATTGCAACTTTTTAGACATTATATTTATGTACTGTTAAAACACCTTTGTTTATATTTTTGTATATTATTATACGTGGTTTTTTGTGTATTTTGTATCTATATATACATATATACGTAGTATTTTTAAGAAGATAAAATAAGATTTATAAAGCACAGAGCAGCAAATGATGATGTAAATGATGATATTTGACTACCTCCACGAATTCTGATGTTGCTCGCTAAAATAAGATTCTTTTCTTGACTATCACATCTTTTCTGGTATATCACATTTATGTTGTACGAAAAGTTGCAATGGTTTTTCTTATTCTTTTCTGATTCCTTTCTCATCTTCTCATCACGAGATCGGTCGTTTTAAATTTCAAAACAATCAAATTCACGCTCTCGAATATATTCACACACTTAAAGAAAGTGACCATTTAAACTCGTGCACATAGCACAGAATAGAACCGCACCCTGTGGACATAGCGCACCGACGGCGACGTGTCGCTTGTGGACTGGCTGCGTAGTTCCAATGTGTACCACCCGTGGACATGCGTTAGTTTACGGGACGGAAAAGTGATTGCACATTTTCTTATTGACCTGGCCGCTCTCAGACTTTTCTCTGCCGCAACAAAAGACTACACAAGAGACTGACAGACGACAGACTATCTACTGCTAAGTGCTAAGATTTATCTTTTAGGGTGAGACAAATTGCATAGAAGTGTGGATGTATAATTTTAGATAAAATTTTACATATATTGTGTGTGCAAAAAGAGCAACTTGTGCCTGACTTTAAAAATTTATGATTAACACGTTCTGAGTGAGATTAAAAAAAAATATTTATGTTTTATTTAGTAAATCCGTTAGGTGAGCTTTGAGATGTTGCTAGATTATGCATTTCTAAAAAAATAGACCCCACACAACACATGTATTGTATATGGGACGTTGTCACAAAAACAAAATCACTCAGATGTATTGATTTTAATATGGATCTAAGCAAATTTTGAATCTGTTTGGCTAGTTTTTGGTCACAAATGCCGACATTAGAAACAGATGAAAATTTACAGAAAAGTATTGCGTATGTTATATTGTAAAGTTTTTCTTTTGTTTTTTAGATTTTATAGCAAGCACGTTAAGATCATATTTCTGTAACAAAAAACAAAAATGGATAAAATAATAGATATACTAAATAAGAAATTAGGTACACGTATAAAAGAACTTTCAGAACAATATAGGAAACTCAAGACTGATGAGGAACGTGTAATATTTACTTCTAATGTTATGCGAGACTATTATATTATTCCTAATGCAACTGGAATGCCAAAAGATGCCAAAAAATCAGAGGAACTACGAGAAAATGGCAATAAAACCTTTGTCAAAGGTGGTCTTGATAATATGACATGTGTAGACGCACTGAAATTATATACTAAGAGTATAGCCTTTGCGCCTTATCCGTCTGAGCAACTTGCACTGGCATATGCCAACAGATCGGCGGTTTTGTTTCAACTAGGATTGCATTTAGAATGTGTTTTGGACATTGATCGAGCATTAGCTTTCAATTATCCAGACAATCTGAAAGCAAAGCTTTATATTCGCAAAGCAGAATGTTTAATGATTCTGGAAAGTTGTTCCACAGAAGATACTCTTAAAGAGGCCCAGCATTGGCTAGAGATGTCTCAGAAGGATGCAAATCAAGAGAAGTTGAGAGCAAAGCTCAATGTTTTACATCGTAAGACTGTACAAATCAAACCAAATGTTCAAAATCCTTTGAGAGAAGCACAAATAAAGGAATCTCCTCTTCCTACTATTATACCTCAAAATAATGAAGTTCCTTGCGCATCAGATGCAGTAGCTATAAAGTACAATAAACGTTATGGCAGACATGTTGTTGCCACTCGTAACATTCGTCCAGGTGAGGTAATTGCGGTGGAAAAGCCTTATTCAATGATGTTAACGCAAGAGAACATGCAAACACACTGTTCAAATTGTTTGAGAGTATGTTGGGCAAATATACCTTGCAACTACTGTACTTATGCTATGTATTGCTCGGAAGAGTGCAAATATGCGGAGTGGAAAAAATGTCATGATGTGGAATGTGCTGTCTTTCCCTGTTTAGTTGAAAGATCTTTTTTGAATCTTGATTTCTTCAGTTTAAGACTTGCCATACTTGCTGTGAGAGAAGCTGGCAGTATACAGCAATTAAAAACCATGCTACAGGAAGTTGACAAATGCGATGGTATTAAGAATTTACTTTATAAATGAACTTTTTCTTAAAGTCTTCTTAAATTTATATAAAAAACAATAGGCGTTACAAGCAATGTATCGGGTCTTCATGTACTTTATTGTAATTATTATGTTGAAACAATGAATTTCATACGTTTCGATCCCAGTCTGGATCTTCTTCGGTGAATCTACAGGAAAACTTTTAATTCTGACATTTGTTGTATAGTTTAGAATGTCGCAAATGAGTTGAAAAATATAAGTTTATAACTGATAAAAAAAAGGAGCTGTACATCTCCAATATGATGGTCACAAAAATAAAATTAAAATGAGATGTCAAAAATAAAACACTTGAGTAGTAGTCAACAATCGCTTGAGATGATATGCAACCTATACCTATACAAACGTGCGATTCATATATAAATGGTTTTGTAAAGGTTGCATATCGCCAAGTGATTGTTGACCACCACTCAAGTGTTTTATTTTTGACATCTCATTATTTTAACTTTAATAACAAGAAATATATAAGAGGCCTTACACGAGCCATTTGCAGGATGTTTGAGCGGAAACTGTGCGTGTATATATATATAAGAATTGAGAATTCAATTCGAAAAACTCACTTGTAAAAATTTACAAGTGAATTCGTTACATGTGTATACATATATATATATACATGTATAAGTTCTCGCTCAACACTTTGAGAACGGCTCGTAAGGCCTTATATTCACTCATTGGTTTATATATATATATATACACATGTAACGACTTCCACTTGTAAATTTTTACAAGTGAGTGTTTTTTTGAATTGAAATCTCAATTCTTAAATTCATACGGGATGCTTTGCATCACACATATGAGAGACCCCGAATACCCCCCCCTCCTAACTAATTTTAAAATATTGCAAAAAAACTCCAGGAGTCGAACCTGGAATCTCCGGCTTTCCGTGCCATCGCCTTCCCTGTTAGGCCACCGAGGCACTCGGAGTTAGTCTCGCAATATATATATTTTAATTTTATTTTGGTGACCATGTCATATTGGAGATGTACAGCATATCCTTTTTTTTATCAGTTATGAACTTATATTTTTTTTAACTCTTTTGCAACATTTTAAACTATACAACAAATGTCAGAATTAAACTTTTCCTGTAGATTCACTGAAAAAAAATCCAGACTGGGATCGAAACGATCGAAAAATAAAATTCATATTGTTTCAACATAATTACAATAAAGTACATGAAAACCCAGTACATTGCTCGTAACGCTTTTTTGTTTTTTAATCAATTTTCAACGAGTATCTATATATATATATATATATATATATGTGTGTGTGTGTGTGTGTGTGTGTACAAAAATACATGTTATTTATACTTATATTGTTATCGATATTGTTTCAGATCCTCGAACAAAGGGGTTTTCTCAAGATGGGAGACTGCATAGCGATCGATACATCGGCATATACAGTCTTGTAACGAATACAGAGAAAAGAGCAGGGAATGATCTCTTCAGAAGATCTTTAGATACGTCTTTTATTTTATACTTTTTAGCGACGCGCACCGCGATGTTTGGCGCTAAACTATCCGAAGATTTGGAATTGTTGGCGAAAAATAAGGACGTAACGTTTATCGGTGGTCTTATTATGAGACACCAGCAGATCATTCCCAGCAATATTCACAGTATTCACGAGGAACAAGGCTTGGATCATGTGAAACGTGGTGTAGCTGCTATGCCATTTTTCAGCCTGTTTAATCACAGCTGCGATCCAAATGTACTGAGGCATTCGAGAGCTGAGCACGTAGTGATGTACGTCATGTATCCCATTAAAAAGGGCGAGCAGGTGTAGTATATTGTCTCGTCTGTGACACAATTTAGCATTCAGTTGTTTAAAGTACAGTTATACTTAACGTTTATCTTATTCTACAGCTTTTAGATAGCTATGGTGAACATTGTGCTCTCTACGACCGAGAAGTCAGACGAAAGAAGCTACTCAAGCAGTATTATTTCACATGTGATTGCATACCGTGCCAAGAAAACTGGCCCTTATATCACGAACTACAGTCATACAATGTAAAATGACAGCATCGAGTTTGCTCAATACGATAATATAATTGTTAAAACTGAATAATTGTTTAATGTTGACGATCATCTAACATTTAATTTTTTTTGGTGCAGACTTTGGTGAAGAAAACGGCGGACAAGGTGAAGATACAAGAGGCGTTACGCAAGTTAAATACATATATCGATATAGCGGCAGACGATAAGGTACTGGACAAACCTTACGTCATCGAAGATTTACTAATGATGGTGCAAGTACTGCACGATTGCGCGCCGATGCCTTGTTTGGAGATGAACAACGTCATTGAGACGTTGAAGCGAGTGTACGATTTGAATGGGAATAGATTTGAAATACCAAAATTGTGGAAAAGCGAAAAATAAGGGAGGGGATGTTTTGTTATACAGAGTAGGGAAAAAAGTGGGAATTTTCTAAAATAATTCGAGAAATGACGTTTTTGGAAAAAAAAGTGTAAATACAAAAGTAGGATTTTGAGAGAGGAATGCAACGGTGACCGTGAACTAGGGGGGGGGGGGGTCAAATTCAGAAGTCATCTGAAGGTCAAAGTAAAATTTTCAAATGGAGGACACCTATTGCTATACTGAAAATAGAAAGAGCAAATTTTACATTTAGACATGTAGTCATGTTTAAAGATGTCGAGGCTTATAGGTCTACGGTTTAAGGATTTCAAGGCTTGAAGGTCTACGATGTAAGGAAAGTTTTGTATTTACAATGTTTTTCCAAAAACATTCTCGAGTTAATTTAAGGTTTCTAACATTTTTTCTCACCCTGTATTTTTTGACTGACAAATTATAAGCATTCTTTCGAGTAGAATGCAATAAATAAAGAAAGATAAAAACTTTTTTTTTTGTAGTATTTTTTTTTTGTTTCTACAGTGTGTGATTTTAACGTAAGAAGGTAACTTATAGAGATTCCTTGAAAGAGATTTATATATTTTTCTGTTTAATACTTTATATGTATGTGTATATACATATGTATATACAGGGTGTTCGACAATTGGTGTAACATCTCTTATAAGCAGGTAGAAAGAGTAGAAAACTGAGTCGAAAAGTCCTATATCATTTTGCGAGATTCGCAATAGTTACCGAGATCTCTATTCGCGGATCTTTGTTAATTAAGGTCTCGGTAACTATTGCGAGAATCTCGCAAAATGATATAAGATTTTTCGATTCAGTTTTACTCTTTCTACCTGCCTGCGAGAGATGTTACACTAATTGTTGAACACACGTATATAAAAATTCTGTGCAAAGAGTATTTTTTTTTGAGGAAATATGTATAATACATACATACACACATATACATGTTTACACATCGAAAAATATATATTATAAAAAATATATATATATATAATATATTTACTGAGTGTAAAATTTTAACAATGTATTGTGTTTTTAAAATATTATATTTAAAGGATTAAAACGACTATGGACAATACATAATACTGTTAAAACATTACATTTTTGTATCTATCATTTTCTCTAATTTTCCTTTATTTTACTTGTGTTTTATAATGTTATGAACATGAAAGAAAATATATATAAAAATAATATTAACTGTAAATAGGTAATATAATAAGATAGTTAAATCGCTCAAAAGTATATAGTCTTTATTACAAGACTTGTGTGATTCAATTATATAAATTATACATAAGTTGATAATATTGTTCTATTATGGTCTCATTAACCAAACAATAATGGGTAAGAGAGTCATTACATTAACAGCCGGCTGATAAGTTGTTCCTAAATTATGAGAGTTAAAACTTCTTGAAACCTTGGAGATGTTTTTTTTTGTTTCTGTGTCTATGTACGCAATCCGCCACTCTACACCTGGATACACCGGACTATGCCGTTTGAAATATTGTTCTAACGCGTCTGCTGTTGTGACACCTATTTAAATATTGACATGATAAATATGTTGATCGAAAGAAATAAAATACGTATAAAGTAAAACAATCGTATTAAAAAATACCGCAAAAACCAAATATCTCTCATATGTGTAAACATACCGAAAGACGTTGTTTCGAGGTTCTCCAGCATGTGAAAACCATCTCCTCCCTTTGCGAGGAAATCGTTTAAGAGAACGGTGTAGGTGGCATTTTTCTGAAGCTCGCTGTATATCGGTACTCGACAAGCAGCGCATCGAAGTTGAACGGAAACCACTCTTGAGTTTGGTGGTTGACTTATGTTATAGGCCACCTGTGTAAGTGCAAGTTCTCGTTTTTAATCAAAAACAGTATAAAACACGCAAAGTTGATGCCCGATTTCTTTATACTTCCTGATAGCTATTTTCTAGATAAAGATATCTGTCTCAGTTAATAAAACATTTAATTTGTAAGCTTTACAGAGGTAAAGAAAATCGATAGGGGATCAAATAAAGGTATCGAAGACTTATCTAGAGGTGAAGAAATTGGGCGTGAATCAGTTTCGGCAAAGTAAAAATCATGTGAAAATCTTAGAGGGAAACAGAGTAACTATATGATCACTTAAGAAAATTTATTAATATCTTGAAGGGAGTGTACACTCTCTCCGCTACACTCCTTTCTCCCTAATCTGGCGCTAGAAAAAGGGATACCTGTCCAAGAGCATCTCAGTATCAGATTGCTCTTGAAACCCTGATGAAGTGAGCTGTGAAATGTTCACGAAACGTCGGTATAAAAATAATACTAACGCGATTCAAACCGCGAAAAACATCTTCAAATGTTAATACAACATACCGCGAAAGCATCAAACATCAATGTCATAATTTCTTATATGAATTATCAATGACAATTTTCATCGAATGTATCTTTTTTGTAGTTACTCATATATACTCGTATATGCGTAATGTTGTATTATTTTAGATACATTTTATATGAAGTAAAACATTAGATAAAAATTAATGTATATATCATTCTTTAGAATTCTCGTAATTGAGGTGATCGGTCCGACCCGCTAAGCGTCGTGATCCGGTTCTCTTCTCCTCTATTATATAATAATTATATAATTATAAAATAGTTATATAATTATAAAATAATTATATAATTATAAAATAGTTATATAATTATATAATAATTATATAATTATAAAATAGTT